ATATTTGGATACTCATAATATTTTAATAAATCTTCCAATTCATTATCACCAAAACATAGTAAATCTTCAGAGTCTCTCGGCCATTCTCGCGGATTTAATATTTTCATAGAGGAAAATAATAATCTATTAGGAAATCGTTGTTTTAATTCAGAAATAATACTCGTTGAATAGATATATATATCCATCGATAATTCATCATAATTTTGCTCAGTAAAAGAAAGTTCATGACCCATATATTCTATTGAATTATTTCCAAATAGATTAGTTTCATCGATAAATTTTTGATTATATCCAAATTTTTGTGATTGATCATCCATTAAGTATTCTTTTTGAATAGAATTAATCGTAGATTGTATCATTAGATCTATATCTGAAAATCATAAATTTCTTCTTTGTAAAAATTTACTCAATCATGTTACATATTCTAAAATATCATAAAAAAAAATAAAAATGCCAACATTCTCCAAAATGTTAATTTAACATATAATTCTCGTACTTTATCCTTATTTGCTTCTTTAAAAACTCTAAATAATGCAGGAATTGAATTACAAATATTTTTAATAGCGTCATATCATGCAAGCCAACATATTTCATATAATCTCTTTATTTTTAAAATAGGACAATCTAAAAGATTTTGAATTTCTTTTAATTGTTGGATATGTGAACATAAATTTTTAAAGTAACCATAAATTTTTTTAACTAATAATTCAGCTTCTTTATAAATTTCAATTTCTTTTCCCACATCTTTACATGCCAAAGCTAACCTATGAACCACACAATGATTAACAATTAAAGGATAAGTACATACTCTTGAAAGCTTTGCTGCAACACCTTCATCTTTTCCTAATATAACTGAAGCACCATCTGAGACAAATGCTACAAGTTTAGATAAAATTCCCTTCTTTTTGAAAAGATTAATTAAAACCTGTGTAATACTTTCTGCATCGCAATCAGTTAAAGGTAAAAGACATAAAAAATGTGTTTTAAATATTTCATTTTTAGCTACATATAAAGCATATATATCTAAATGTTTGGTTGTTATAATATCTGTACTTTCATCAATCATTATTCCAAATGCTACAGCATCGGACAATTCACTCCAGATTTTATCTTCAATAGTTTTAGCTATTGCCATTAAAAATTCATGTCCTGAAATCTCGTTTGTATATGTAATTAAACCATCAGATATATGTGGTGTTCCTGATTCTTTCATCATTTCAATGATGGAAGGTAAAAGCCGAAGAGGCAAATCTTTTTTGACAAAAAATATACAGTCCGCATTATAATAATATATGCCTAGCATTTCCATCAGAAGAAAAAATTTGATTTTGCAAAGATTCTATTTGAATACGTGCTGTTTCTAATTTTTTTGCTTCAATATGATCTTTACATTTTACATGCTCTTTAACTGCTGATTTTTTTGAGATATTTGTTACACCTTCTGTAGCAAACTTATTTTTCATCTTATGTTTAACACAAATTGTACAAAACATTTTTTTATTATCATAATGTAACCAAGAAAGTTTTGATAACCATTTGATTTTAAATGTTTTATCTACATTGGAATTTTTCAAATTTTCTTGAGGATTTTTAGAATTTTGCTCATTTTTTTGAGACGAACTATCACTAATTCTCTGACTTTTAAAGCCATATTGTAACAAAGACATAATGAAAAAATTGATTAATATTGATTATCGATAGATCTATATTAATGAAATTCAAAAAAATTTGGCAAAATTTTATTGGTTCTGATAAAGTTTATTAATGTTGGTCATATGTTCTGATATAAAAAATAAATTTCCGGAATTTTGAAGACTTTTCGGAAAATTTCCAGAATTTTTTCAAAATTTTTTTGTGCACTGCTGCTGGTGCCCTGTAATAGCCTTCAGAGAAAAAATATTTTTTTAATTCTATCCTATCTGAAACTAAAGACGAAATGAAGCATTTTTATAATATAGTTTCCTTCCCATAGCTTTGTACGGAATCCCTTAAAAGTATCAATTTAATTGTGTCTGAATTACGAATAAATAATTTAATTTATCTCTGATGTTAAAATGACCAATTTGGCTATATTTTACATGGATTCAAATGATCAGAAGAGTCTGATATGTTAATATTAACAAAGCCTTAATCCCATTAGAATATTTTTTGTTTAGCTGCAGTTAGGGTTCCTTAAAATCAAATTGAATCAAATCGAATTGAATTGAACTCAAATATTTGATCGAATCAATTTGAATCAATTGAATTTGATCGAATTGAATCAAATTGAATCAAATATTTGTCAAATTAAATCAAATCAAATCAAATCAAATGTAAAAAAATTTTTTAATTTTTACAATGATATATTAAAATAAAGTTATTATAATGGTTTAATTAAGAAGATTATTAGTAATTGCACTAAAAAATTTCAAAAATAGCTTTTATAAAGTAAGTTTAGTAACAGGTAAATTTTTACTAT